AATGGAATGATAATATTACTCCAGCTAAAATTATTTATAACGAAAATGATGCCGATGATGGTAATTGTGATGATGATGATAATGGCACTAACAATAGTAATAATACAATACTGTAATGATAATGGTGTTAAAAAGGATATTATTGAAATATGGCTTTTTATATTATAATACATGACGGGCAGTACTTAGTACAGTAGTTAGAATTATACAACGATAAATAAAAAAAACTATCTCAACCCAGTTGTAAATATAATAGGCCCTAAATTATTATTAATACAATAATATTAGATTACTTTTACTAAATTAGAACGTGATGTATTGAATGTGTTTGTGAGTGAATTGATGTTAATTTGTTAGCAATGAATAAAGTGTTGTTTTCTTCTACTGTACTCACGAGGTCTTCTTGCGTGTTAATCTTCTTGTTGGTTTTTTCCAACACGCGTCTCATTGCTGACACGCGTGCGTAGGCCGCCAAGGAATGGAGAATAGTGAAACCATCAGACTACAAGACAAACGTAGAATATGATGAGAAAGAAATAATAAAAAAACAACAAGAAACTATACACACACCACATATCAACAACACGTAACAACTCACAAACATCACACATACATTACTTATTACATTCATCATTATTAAATACTAATTACATTATTTAATATTTTTAAAATGTGGTTTTTTAGGCGAAATCGCGCAAAAAATATTTGTATCAATTGGCCTATGTTTTACACACACTAGTAAAATATTTCCAAATTGGGATTTTGAGCGAAAATACTTTTTGTGAAAAATATCAATTTTATTGTCACCAATTTAATCAGTAAACTGTATTAAGCAGAACAAATCCAAACATCACCATTTTTGTAAGTGTAATATGTATTTTTTCACAATGTTTCATATGAAATAGTGATAATGGCCATAACATAGGCTTTTTCTGTGTTGTAAAATATGTCAAATAAATTATGAAATAAAAGTCTCATTTTTAACCCAACATGAAATAAATCACTTTGAGTTATTTGTATGTTTTATGATGTGTACACATGATGTGTGCTTGTGATGTTTAAAATGCAATGATATTTAATTCCACTCACATCCTGGTGTTCTAAACACTCAACTGTTGCCTTTTCAATCATATCCTCCAACACATCATCTGGTGCGCTGTACCACACAGCGTGTATTAATGGCGTCTCGCCGTTCTACGAAAACAAACATTACATTGAATTACGATACAGTTCATACAACTACCAACATTATTTTTTACGCGTTTTATAATTTCAACGGTACGATGATATTCCAATATCATTTAAGAACTACTAAATTATAACTAGTTAAAAATGTGTGTTATAATACACACATTCATTTAAATATATTATATTGATTTTATTTACGATAAATTTTTGGTCATTTTTTCACAATTATTAAGAGTTAAAATAAGATTAACAAAAATACTGTAATGTTATTTATAAGTGTTTTGGAAAAGGGAATAAGGTACTGTGTCAGTGAAAAGGTCGAGACATAACTTTTACGGTAGTTGTTGAGTCATGGTTTATGTTTAGTATGTTAAAAAAATGATATTACAGTACTAATAATAGGCCTTTTACTTAGCATGTCTATATTTTGTTAGTACAGTAGTATAGTAGGCCCCTATTATATTTCCTTGTAAACTGTTTTTGAGTGAACCATGAAATTATTGATAAGCTATTTCGAAAAGGGAGTACGGTACTGTGTCAGTGAATAGGTCTAAACATAAACGTATAGTTGTTGGACCATGGTTTGTGTTTAGTATTTAAAAAAAATGATATTAGCATGTCTATATTTTGTCAGTACAGTATAGTAGGCCCTATGCCTTGTAAATTGTTCGTGCGTGAACCACGTATTTACAAAAACAGGAGAATACTTGACAACGGCGCGTGTAAATAATTTTAATTTTTAATTTTATTTAAATTTTTGTTTTAAATAATTTTATAGGCCTACTCATTAACTAAAAAGAAGTAGGAACAATTAGAGTTGATAAATCATTTAGTAGGAAAGTCCCTAGACTAAATACCGCATGGCCAATTTAGTAGTTTACGCAAAAAATATTAGAACGTATTATTTTTGTACGTCTGTAAAATAATGGGTTTTTTTTTATTGAAACTTTTAACATAATAAAATACACAATGTAAGTAATTTAAATATAATAAATAATATTTTCAAAAAAAAAAAAAATCATTAGTTAATCACCCCTCCCTCGTCACTTTTTGGAAAATTCTTTTGACAGTGACAGTCAGTTATTTAAGCATAACATGTGATCAAATTATTAATATAATACTACTTTTTAAAATTCATTTAATTAATGGACTTTTTCTTGAGAAATTAAAATGAAATCAACATTTAAATGATATGGATTTACTAATGATTGTGGATAAAATATTAACTAGAATAAATCAATACATAAGAACTTAATACAAAAAAAAACAAACAAAAAGAAACACCTCCCTCCCTCATCAGTTTTTATTATTTGATAGGGTAATAAACTAAGATTTTTTTTATGGGGCGTTAGCTAACACATGAAAGATTTTTGTGTTTGGATTTTAAAATAGCTAGGAATAGGCCCAATTATTTCTTATGCCTATAATACTGTTAATACAATTGCATTAAGTTCTTAAGTATTTATTTATTCTGGTCAATATTTCATCAAAATTCATTAGTAAATCCACATCATTTAATTATTGATATCATTTTCATTCCTCCAGAAAAAGTCCATTAATTAAATGGATTTTTAAAAATAGTACTATATTAATAATTTGATCACATGCTATGGTCAAATAACTGACTGTCACACCTATTTTAAATTAAACTATATTAGATTAAAATAAATACCGGAGACGAGGTTTATTGTGTTAAGAAACGGGAAAGCATTCCACAACTGGCTGATAATTGTTTACGTTTTGACATTTGAAATGAAGAGTGACACGAATTTCCAATTTAAATCAACCAATACGATATCATTAAAAAAATTATTTAACACATTATAAATTTAAACCCCTCTAATAAGCTAATAAGATTTATTTACTTATGGCCTAAGTTTACTTATAGCCATTCATCGCCAATTATTATTAATATTATTATTTTATTTACAACTTAACGAAAAGCATGTGTATTACCCATTGATATTAATCGTATTAAAAATTGTTTACGTTTTTATCCTGTATTTCGTTTTATGAACGCATAGTGCCTCATTAAATCACTTTGTATACTGTTTTTTGTATGTTATATTGTTTTATTTTATAAGCACAGGAAAGCAAATTTCATGTATATTTTTATATGTGACAATAAAATCTATCTTGAATTTTGAATCTTGATATTGATTGCCATCGATATTATAAAAGTGCAAGTTCAAATAAATATTGTCGAACTACAGAGGGCGCTAGACTCGTTTTTTTAGTTATCAGGGAAACTTATCAATGCGAAAATTATCAACTAACGAACTAATTTTGTAGGCCTGATATAAATAAAATGAATATTGGCCACACGGCTTGTACTTAACAAGAATGACAATGTGGTTTAATTGAGCATGGTACATTTTAAACGAGAACGTTCTTTATAAAAAGCACATATTGTGGAAATGTTTATATTTCTTTAGTACAGAGTGAATGGTAGAGGATAGTAATAAATGCTCATAATAAAGATATTTTTAAGCCCTAAACCTAAATACCGGGCTATGTTCAGCGTTATAGTTTTACCATTTATTAGGTAAAGTAATAATATTGGTTACAATATTAGAATAATGGTTTGAAGACAGAAACATCAAAATAGACCCCTCGCCTATGAGATGGCAAATATTATTCACCAAACATATGGCTTAATTAAGTAATAATAATAAATTTCTGTATAAAAACCATCAATATTGTTTTATTTATTATTAGTAAATAAACATCTCTTCCTGGTTGGTTAATTTCAGCATAGAATCGGGCATTTCATTTTTTTTATTGATTTAATCCGTTGATTATGTATCTTTATCAATATCTTATTCTGAAGTCTCTGCGTACTAAAACTTCTGAGTAGATTTAAGGCGCTAAAATATATAAATGCGAGACAATTACCAAAATGCGAGACAATTACCATTAAAGCTATACAATGGCTGTTAATTATTTTATTTGGGACGTTTGAAATGAAGAAAATGAAATAAATTTATTATAGATTTAGACTATCTAAGTAAAGCGCAATAATACACTACATGAAATTATACAGTAAACGCATTACAATTTGTACGACATATATTGAACTAGAGAGGGCGCTAGTAGAGTCTTCGCGGACGTTTTGATTATTAAACGGCACACTTTTTAGTTAATTAAAGAGAATGACAATTTTGTTTTCAATTCTGTATGGCAGATTAAATTTTTTTTTAATAAAAAAAAATCCAGAAAATAGAACACATATTTTGTGCAAATAATTGAGAGCTTTTTGTTGTGTTGGAACTGTATCTTATTTTAAAAATATGATCCAATAAAAATTCTAAAATCAAGAAAATCACTTCATAAATCTAACTTAGTACTTGCCTCATCCTTCGTTTCAATAAGATGAGGTTCATTTTCAACGATGTTTGTTACTGCTGGCCAGTCTTTTCTCTGTATAGCCTGTATTAATTTGTTTCTGTGACATAACAAGCAAGGAAATGTATGAATTCTTTTTCTTACAATGTCATTGTAAATACAGTTGATTAAACCAGGTTTCTCATGAATATTAATTCTTGACATCACTGTTATCCTCATCACTCAAAAATAGTTAATAACATGTTAATGATATTTCGCAAAACAAAATAACTATACATAATTATAATTAAATTCTTTACAATAACAACTTTTAATGTGTCTGTCAGTACATAATTGTACTCCTTCTAAGATTATAGTTATATTAGCTCGTTTACTTAATGTTTACTTGATACAAATTATTACACTAGAGTACTCACTCATCGTCGGGTAGAGTTTGTAAAATTATTATACATAATACAGTACTCACCTAGCTCTTGGTAGAACGTTCATGGTTATCGATGGTTTGTGACGTTCGTATTGATCGTGTCGAATAGTGAAATATCTGTGAATAGTGGTACAGCCTTATTTAATTAGAACGAATAAGTCAAAATCTAGCATACACAAACTTTACAATTTTCGAACAACTTGTAGGAACAAAATAGCGAATATTCACAAGCTGCATGATTGGCTGTCCTCGTCACGTGATTTTGAATTATTCCGCTTCTAGTTCCTGTGTGCCTCTACAAATCATTCGGTTGAACACATACGGTAATAAATTTAGAAAATATTGTATCATCAGACATTGTGAGTGAAAATAATTGTAATAGTAAAAAAAAAACTATTACAATGATAATTAAAAAAGTAATAGGCCTAATAACCATAATCATAAAAATCAATAAAAGTAATAAAATCATAAATGATTGCATTCTAGATGTAATGGAAACCTTTGTCTAAACCACTCTCGTCAGCTTCCCAGTACAACAAGGTACGGTACGGTACAAGGTACAAGGTACATACCCACACCTGATGTGACCTGATGACGCCCATTTGGGGCGAGCTCACGGATAGATTTGATTATTATTTAATTAACTAATTATTACAGTATTTTACCAGTTCCTCTCTTTACTAAATTATACTGTTAATTTCTACCAGATCATTTGGCTATGCCAGTGATACCGTTTTAATCCAAGCGGTCTCTAACTATCCAGGCCTCTCGGAGAAGGAGATGGGAAGCGCATATCGGCAGGCATCGACGGACACATACACTTCCCACCCTCTACAATGACATCCCCCTACCGTTCTCCCCTACCGCTCTAAATCTAATGCTGGATATCTATTCACATAATAGGAACCGTTGCTTAATCCCGTTTCTGGTATCGACCTAAAAGGTAACGGAAGTGGGTGTGGCAAACGATGTTTAGATAGTAAATGTTCCTGTCTACAATCTTTTGGGAAGTGTATTTCAAAAACCTTCTCAATGAAAATGTTAATATAGTTATAGTCCAAAGCAAATAACCGTTTAATAAAATATACGTACCTTTTAAAACTAAATGGCCTTCGGAAATGTACTGTAGTGTCGATTTGTGCTTGCGTTGTGTTGAAGAACTTGTTGAACAATGATTGGCTCGTTCGACTGTAAGCTAATACTCATACAGCAGTAATAAACGGATCTACGTCACAGTAAAATACGTTATTGCTATCAAAATGTATTCACAATGACTTACCAGGTCACGAATTGGAACCATTTCCGCGTCGATTTCTGAGCCAAGAGAGTTCACAGTAATGGCGGCACTGCGGAAGGAGACGTGGGGGATTTTCTTTACCCAGGTCATATACTTTTCCTTGCATCATTAGCATACAATACGTATAAGCCTATTGTTTTGATGATAGGCCTACTGTAAATGGATAGCTTTCCAAAAAACAAAACAAAAACAAAAACAAATGATTGTATATTTAATCGTATCAATCTAAAATAGATGTATGAAAACGTGTCTCGATCTGGTGAGATTCCAAACTGCAAGGCGAATATCATATCCATTAGACCAGGATAGATCTACCAGGATACAGGCGAAGATCCAAGCCCCAGGCACTAGCCCTCTCATAGAACTGCTTGTAGGTCGCAGTACAGTGGCGTACGATACGGTACAGCCAGTACAAAGCATGGGGCAAGGGTCCAATTATAAATAGACCTATAAATAATAATTAAAAATAATTTCAAAATTAATTTTGAAGGAAAGAAAGGGAGGGGGCAGCGGGCCCCTCAACGATATTCGGATTTTAGAGTAGTAATTATTGAGTACATGGGTTGGTTTCTATTAACTGGTGTATTCAAGGAGGCCCCAGCAGGCCGGATAGCCTATTTTTTCATGAATTAAAAAAAAATAAAGCATGTTTGTTGCGTAGCACTGTCAACACGATACTAATAAACAAATACTGTATTTCAGTATTTCAGTATTGAAACTCGCTTTCAGAACAGTGGAACACACCTGTATACGGTCTGTCTCTTATACAAATCTAGATGTGTATAAGAGACAGCCTAAAAGGTAACGGAAGTGGGTGCG